CCCCAATGGGACACAGATAAAAAAAAAAACTGACAGGGGTTTTAGTCATTTCCTACTTCACGATCATTTCTATCACTTTAGGTAAACTTTAAAGTGATATGAAAACCAAATGCTTTAAGGTACACTATATTGCCAAAAGTATTGGGACCCCCTCCAAGTCATTTGATTCAGGTGTTCCGTGACATTTCCTTGCTACTAAATATTCCGCGGTCACCTGTTAGTGGTATTATAACAAAGTGGAAGCAACTGGGAACAGCAGCAACTCAGCCACAAAGTGGTAGGCCACGTAAAATGACAGAGCGGGGTCAGCGCATGCTGAAGCGCACAGTGCGCAGAAGTCGCCAACTGTCTGCAGAGTCAATAGCTACAGACCTCCAAACTCCGTGTGGCCTTCAGATTGGCACAACAACAGTGCGTAGAGAGCTTCATGGAATGGGTTTCCATGGCCGAGCAGCTGCATCCAAGCCTTACATTACCAAGTGCAATGCAAAGCGTGGGATGCCGTGGTGTAAAGCACGCCGCCACTGGACTCTAGAGAAGTGGAGACGTGTTCTCTGGAGTGACCAATCACGCTTCTCTGTCTGGCAATGTGATGGGTCCTCACAAATGGTCCAACATTCCCATAGACACACTCCTAAACCTTGTGGACGCCTTCCCAGAAGAGCTGAAGCTGTTATAGCGGCAATGGGCGGAGCCAACTCAATACTGATCCCTACGGACTAAGACTAGGAGGCCATTAAAGTTCATGTGCGTGTAAAGGCCGACGTCCCAATACTTTTGGTAATATAGTGTATTTCAGATGCTGATGACATCACTTCCATGATGCTGAGAAGTTCCTGTTTCCGGCAGAATCACTGGGTCCCCTGCGCACTGATATCCTGTTATAGGGTGGCCTGTGATGGTAATGAGGTCCGGGCACCCCAATACTAATTAGGGATTTCCATCGCTCCCCTCGGTTTGTTGAAATTCATGACCTTTATCGTGACTATATACAGAGAACACGAGCGCTCTCAGTCTGCTCCCCTGAGATTGGGAAATCTCTCTAGTCCAGGAGTAGCCACCTGCGGAACTACAAATCCCATGAGGCATTGCAAGTCTCTGGGGGCCACAGGCATGACTCCCAGAGGCAGAAGCATGATTGGATTTGTAGTTTCACCACAGCTGGAGTGCAAAGGTTGCCTACTGCATGTGCTCCCTACAAATCCCTGACTCATAGGAATGGTTCAGTGCTCCCTACAAATCCCTGACTGATAGGAATGGTTCAGTGATCCCTATAAATCCCTGACTGATAGGAATGGTTCAGTGTTCCCTACAAATCCCTGACTCATAGGAGTGATTTAGTGTTCCCTACAAATCCCTGACTGATAGGAATAGTTCAGTGATCCCTATAAATCCCTGACTGATAGGAGTGATTCAGTGTTCCCTACAAATCCCTGACTGATAGGAGTGGTTCAGTGTTCCCTACAAATCCCTAAACTGATAGGAGTGGTTCAGTGTTCCCTACAAATCCCTGACTGATAGGAATAGTTCAGTGATCCCTACAAATCCCTGACGGATAGGAATGGTTCAGTGTTCTCTATAAATCCCTGACTCATAGGAATGGTTCAGTGCTCCCTACAAATCCCTGACTCATAGGAATGGTTCAGTGATCCCTACAAATCCGACTGATAGGAATGGTTCAGTGCTCCCTACAAATCCCTGACTCATAGGAATGGTTCAGTGATCCCTACAAATCCCTGACTCATAGTAATGGTACAGTGATCCCTACAAATCCCTGACTCATAGGAATGGTTCAGTGCTCCCTACAAATCCCTGACTCATAGGAATGGTTCAGTGCTCCCTACAAATCCCTGACGCATAGTGCTCCCAGTACCTCGGGTGACAACGCCCACTGTATGGTATGTATGGAGGAGCAGCGTTGTCACCCTAGGCCCCTCTCCTGATTTGGATTACACATACGTCTTCCTCTATTACGAGGGGGGGGGGATTAGTTGTAGACAGTTCAGGGGTCAGGCAACATTGTTTTCCTTTCAGTTCAGCTCACAGGAAGTGACAAGGACAGACAAGCAGTGACAAGGACACGACGACAGGAAGTGATGAGGACACATTTCTGGCAGGATCAACAGGTATTTTCTGTACTTGCTGAAAACGTTATTGGGCAGAATAAATAAAACTAACACGGCCGCCTAATCCAATGATAAGCTGCAAAAAAACGACATTTTCCTTGAACTCAATTCTGATTGGTTGCCATGGCTACAACAGTCTTCTCCCTAGGTACTAACGACTCAGACCGAGTGTGGGGTAAACAACAGTCTCCCTCCCTCCCCATATTCAAGATGGCGCCCGCTTCCTACAAGATGGTTCCCGTTGATTTTATTTCCTCAACCAACATGGCGAGGGCACCAGCCTCGGGAACTCTGAAGGGGAAACAGACGTTCGAAAAAGCGGGGTTCTCCTTATAGCGGCTCGCTGCCCTGGACAAAGATGTCTGGCCGAACACTTCCGCCCTTCACCAACATGTCTGCCCAACGCCTTCGCCCCTAACCAAGATGGCGTCGGCGCGTCCTCGGCCCCTCCTCTGTTGTCTATGGTTGCGGGGATCCCTGGCGGCGCCTGCGCAGTGGCCGGTGCGAGGTGCCGCGCCTGCGCAGTACGTTTCCTCGGAGGAGGGGGAACAGAGGAGCATGAATGGAGCAAGATGGCGGACCCTGTGCAGGTGAGGGGGGAACCCTGAGGATGTGCGGGGATCCGGAGCTGTAGGCGGGAGGAGAGGCTGCGGATGTGGTCCGCCGGGAGCGGAAGGAAGGCTCACAATGTTCTATGTGAGGGGACACATGGAGGGAGGGAGGCTGGGGCCTGAGGCCTGCTCTGTGTGCATATAAACACAGGGGAGATGTGTGTGAGCTTCCCTTGATCTAACTGTGTGGGGGCCCCCAGGGTGACAGAGCCGGGACCAGAGACATTCTGAAATGTGTGCATGGATTGCATGGAGACCTGTCTGTGTGTGTCTGGATTGTATGGAGATCTGTGTGTGCATGCATGTGCATTGATTGTATGGACATCTGTGTGTGTAGATTGTATGGAGATCCTGTGTGGGGGGGTCGGGGGACTTTATTTTTGAATTTTTGTGGAACTTTATTTTTTTATACCTCATTGCTATCACATGGGGGGGAGGGGGGTTCACATGTCACCTATGTGACAGCCTGTTGGAGGTGACAGGTTCTCTTTAAGGCGACATTAGGAGTCTATTAGACCCCTGGTGTCACCTTTACCCTTCAGTAGCTTTCTGCTGAGGAAGATGAATGTAAACACAGCATGCAGTGACTGGTAGCAAAGTTCTCCTTCAGGTCCTCTTCTGTTTATTGACAGCAGGCAGAGGGTGGGTGCAATAGCCAGCCTGCTATTGGCTACTGCAATTTAAAATAGCCAATAGCAGGCTGGCTATTGCTCCCGACCACTGGGTGGGAGACTTGTCGCCGGCAGTGGATCTGAAGTGGGGCGGGGGTAATGCACAGACACAGTGGCTGACAGAAGTCTCTTTTCTCTGCTGTGTCCCCTCCGATCCTTGCTGCCTCTGCTGAAACAGGCGTGGATCTAAGGGGGACACGGCATGCAGAAAGCTGCCAGTGGGGTGATCAGAAGTGATGCGTGCCCGGAACTGCATGTCTGGTGGTGTTGGGCAATAGCAAAAGCCCTTCTTGCTAAGATGCCTTTCTCATTGGTCAACGCGGTCACCTGACTGAGAAGCCCTTCTTGCTAAGATGCCCTTCTCATTGGTCAACACGGTCACCTGACTGAGAAGCCCTTCTTGCTAAAATGCCCTTCTCATTGGTCAACGCGGTCACCTGACTGAGAAGCCCTTCTTGCTAAGATGTCCTTCTCATTGGTCAACACGTTCACCTGATTAATGAGGATCCCTTTTTGCCAAGAAGTCCTCATTGGCCAGCACGGTCAGAAGCGCTTCTCAACGAGTGTGCGCCATTTGCGAGTGGATTTTAAAATACAGAGGGCAGGGACGATCGTCCACCGGCAGCCATGGAGGGCGAGGAACGTTCGTTGACAGGTAAGTGGGAGGGGAGGTAATTCCATTACCCCTGGAAAAGCGGAATTACCCTTCAACTGAACAAACTGAGAAGAGAAGCTGATTGGTTGCTATGGGCAACTGCTCCAGAGTCTGTCTGCTCCCATTTTTTAGGAAAGTGGAATTACCCTTTAAGCTTTAAAATGAGAGAAGCTGATTGGTTGCCACTGCTCCAGATTTCGTCTGCTCCAAGTTTTAGGAATCCCCCCACGATGTGAGCGGGCCCCTCGATTCGACATAAGTTAGCTCCACCCACTACGACTCCCCCGTCTGCGCTCGTCATTCCAAGGTCTGTCTGTTTCAAACCATGTAGACGCTGGGTGTCATCGGCACTGGCTCAGTCTTTTAAAAATGCATTTAAAGGAAAGCGCCAGCGAGGAGATAACGAGGGCGGGGTGACGCTTTAGCGTCGCTCTGATGACCAGAACATTTTTTCTTCAGGATAAATAAATTCGGGAGCCATTTCAATTTCCGCCGCTTCATCAAAAATGAGGAAACGTTGTGCAGAGAGCAACAGTTGTGTGTCAGTGATAAGTGTGCGTTCACCCGGAGGATATCATGCCCATCACGTGTGTGTGCGCAGACCTGATCTGCAATGCAATGGAGGAGGCCAGGAAGGGGTTAACTCCCGCAACCTCCAACTGGTGAGCACACGATGACCTCTGATTGGCTGCTCCAGGTAATTGTTCCTCGTACGCTTGCCTTCGCCTTACTTTTTTTTTAGGTTTGCTGTTGCCATGGCTGATTGCGTTCTACATTTAGTGTTTGTTTGCGTTTTGTGAACGTTTACAGAACGCATCAAAAAAGTGCAACACGCTTGCTTTGCCATCACTTGTTCATGGCACCCAAAACGCGCACGGGTAAACACGCAGTTATTGACGCATTTTAAATGCGTGCACAAACACGTGGTGAAAAAACCCGCCATACGCCTGTAGCAGGATCTGCTTGCATGAGCGGCTTTCCTACATTTGCCCCACGTGCAACATGCGGCAAATGGGGGGGGAACGCACAAGAGCGCAGCGCGCGTTCGAAGGATGGGAAGGTGCGGATGGGGACTTAGAGGAACTCCAGCTATTAGCAAAATTAACCCTTGCAGTGGGGCTACCCCCACCACCCCCGTACTGCAAGGGTTAAGTGCAATACAGAGCATATGCTCACCTGGTCCTCGGTCCCCGGTGATCGCCGATCATGTCTCTCCCCCTCCACTCCGGGGGGTGGTATGTCCCTTGTTGTCCTTGCATCTAATGGAACACCATGCTCTCCTGATCCTCAGGGGCGGTCACTACTCACTCCCCCACCCCCTCCTCTGCTCTGCCGGTGGAATGTCCCTTAGCCTCCTCACATCTAATGTAAGTGAATGGACCTGTATTAGATGTGATGATTTCACAAGTCCTTAGACCACTCTAGTCCGGGGGGAGAAGAGGCTGCCAGGACCAGTCTATCAGCCAGTCAGGACTGAGGATCAGGTGAGTATGTCTGCTTTAATCTGGCCCATAGGGAAAGCGATCAGGGGTTGTGCATGTGATCGGTGGGGTTTGTGTATTTAGTGAGGAAAGCCAGGAATTAAGAAAAGGAACCCTTGCGGTGGGGCTACCCCAGAATTGCAAGGGTTAACTGCCTGTTTGGTCCAGGGGCTGGATTAAGGTAGATATACTTACCTGATCCTCGATCCCACCTGGTTGCTTGTCCGGTTACTTCTCCCCCTGGGCTCTGGGCAGTCTACGGACCCGTGACATCATCAGACCAATGCTGGTCCATTGACCTGCTTTAGACTTGAGGACACAGAGGGGCATTCCACCGATGGGGGAGAGAGGTGAGCGCTTATCACATGAGGATCAGGTGAGTATATCTTCTGTATTGGGGCCCTACATCAAATAAGACTTAACCCTTGCAATGCTGGGGTAGCCCAACGGCAAGGGTTCAGTTTGTCAATTCCTGGAGTTCCTCTTTTTAAATACACAAAATTATTTCAGACCACACCCTGCCGGAACGTTGGATAAGAGTTTAGTATATGTGACAACTCCGAGGCTCCCAAAAAGAGGAGGAGCAACACCCAGGTACAGAGCACCTCACCCCCCAAAAAGAGGAGGAGCTGCACCCAGGTACAGGACACCTCACCCCCTCAAATTAGACAAATGTCATACAACCAGGGCAGTTGTAGAACATTGGATGGCGCCATCAGAGACTTGACCAATGTGGTTCAAAATTTGGTTTGATTTTAACATTTGGATTTTGTTTGTCTCCATTCACACATCAGAGTTTGGTATTTTGAGCGTCTCCTCCCCCCCCCAACATCCTGATTGGCTATGCCTTGGTGATGAGGGTGCATGGAACTGGCCTCCCGGCCAATCAGGAAGCCGGGCGCTGTGTAATAACTCGCTGCCCAGCTTCCTGATTGGTCGGGATGCTGGCCGCGAGTACTGAAGAAAATAAAATATCAGTACTCTTACTCGATACCGAAAAGTCGGTATGGGTGCATCCCTATCCATTACCAATATCAAATGCATGCAAATTTGTATAATGTGCGGACGCTCAGAGTACAGCAGGTACATTGTGAGGTTTTCCTCGCAGAGGAGAAGTAGAATGAGTGTATTTCTAGCTAGTTTAGGAGTGTTTTCCGGCATCAGTGCAGTGATACCCCAACACAGGGACATATTCAAGTGTCAGTCCACCCAAAACTGATATATTTTACTTTTTGGTAGATTCTGAAGAAGCAACCATCTGACAATGTCTTGTATCTCTCAGGGATTCTTAATGAGATCTCTGCGCTGGAGTTCCTGCACACCTGTTGTAGCCAATACATAGTCCTACTGTTGGACTTGAGTTGTTGGGTCTGCACACCCATTGTAGCAATTACTTGGTCTTACTCTTCTGTTCGGCTTGAGTTGTTGGGTCTGCACACCCATTGTATCCATTACATGGTCTTACTCTTCTGTTCGGCTTGAGTTGTGGGGTCTGCACACCCATTGTATCCATTACATGGTCTTACTCTTCTGTTGGGCTTGAGTTGTTGGTGCTGCACACCCATTGTATCCATTACATGGTCTTACTCTTGAGTTAAACTTGAGTTGTTGGGTCTGCACACCCATTGTAGCCATTACAAGGTCTTACTCTTCTGTTGGGCTTGAGTTGTTGGGTCTGCACACCCATTGTAGCCATTACATGGTCTTACTCTTCTGTTGGGCTTGAGTTGTTGGGTCTGCACACCCATTGTAGCCATTACATGGTCCTACTCTTGTGTTTGGGCTTTAGTTGTGGGGTCTGCACACCCTTTGTAGCCATTACATGGTCTTACTCTTGTGTCGGACTTGTTGTGGGGTCTGCACACCCATTGTAGCCATTACACGTTCCTACACCTGTTGAATCCTCTCTTTTATATTGTGGTGAACACACAAAGGCGGGCAGAAATACACAAAGCCCCCAGGCGGACAGGGAGATCTCTGTTGGAGTAAGTAAGAAATATAAAAACCCAATAGACATGTGGACTATTAGGATTGTGTAGAATAAAGCAGCCGGCAGGGGGTCAGCATTGCTGTTTAGAAGGCAAGGTCGGCAATGTCATCCTCCATGTTTCTCTTGCAACAGGTTTTTTTTTTTAATGGGCAGACCAATGAATACAAATCCAATCTTCATAGAGGGAACTTGTGTAGTCTGGAGACTGAATGCTGTGTCACCATGTTACAGCTGCTGGTTATCTTCAGTAGGCAGATAGTCCTCTTCTATATACCTACTCCCCTCCCATGTCCTTATCTGAGGACCACACGGCCTCCGTGCTTCCCAGGTCTCTGGTTTTCATACATGTACGTCACAAATATTTACAAATGAACTGTTAAAGAATGCATGAGGTTCATCATGTGACTGCCATCATGCTCCATGCCGTTACTGAGCCCCGTAAGGCCAATCACATGCTCCATGCCGTTACTGAGCCCCGTAAGGCCAATCACATGCTCCATGTAGGTTGTTCTTATGTAAGTGTATTTGTTGACGGTCTAGAGACAAGACCATTCACCCTGTATAAGGTGAGAGAGCAGGATGGGGTAGAGTCTCTCACAGCTATATTGGACTTACACTAGCCCAATGTCACCATTAATATTGATCTCATTTTGATTAGATCAAAGTTTTGTAATTTTTGGCTTTTTAGGTCCAAATCTGAAATCTTATGATGGGTTCTGACATTAAGATTTCATACTGTCATACGGTTTAATATCATTAGCTTATTTCTGGCTGATGAAGACTAAGGATGGGCTCGGGCGTGTTCGCAGCTCCACGTGCCGAGCCCGCCAGGAAGCTGGCAGTGCCAATCACAGGTACTGAGACATTTCCCGATCTCTGCAGCTGCGGACCGGGAAAATGTCTCAGTACCTGTGATTGGCGCTGCCAGCTTCCTGTCGGGCTCGGCACGTGGAGCTGCGAACACGCCCGAGCCCATCCTTACTGAAGACCCGGAACAAGTCATTTTGTACTCTATACTCAGCTCTGCCATGGGGCTGGACAAATCCCAGGAGTCAGGTTGTCCGTGCCCCTTAAAAATTACCTAACTTTTGGGATTGGCCTCTGAATTGCATATTAATTTGAACCAACAAACCGGAGCTCCTCCAAAACACAAGGAGGCGCCTTCCGTGCCCTGCCCCCAGCTTGGCATAGGCAGAGACGCAGGATGCAGTGAGGACATTGACCTACTTGCCAATATTTGGCTAATTACATTTACCTAATATGGTTATGTGACCATTATAAGGTAGATGATTTCAGCACAATCATCCCGCCCCTTTGTTTACATGCAACTGTAGGGCATGCCCGGCCCGTTGCTGATTGGGTGGAAGTCCCCATGGCATTTCCGCTTTCCGAGCTCGGGTTTGGTCGAATCCGCAGAATTAATAAAAATGCTAAATTCCCCCCATACATTCTAAACGGGGGTGGGTGGGGGAGTTTCCCCCCACCTGGCTGCTTTATTCTGGCAGCAACACGCATGCCACTGTCAGAATATCTGAACGGTGACTTTTCGGACGAGATTCTACAGACCATCTACTTCAACAAAAGTTGATTTGGAGGGGTGCCGACGGGGCCACGTAGTGCTCAAATTGGAGCCATATACGGCCAGATTTAGTGAATAAGCTTACTTTGTAAAACCCGTCGCACATTAGCAGCGACGACACTATATAGTGATAACCCAACACTGCTGAACAATGCCTCGCCAGTATTGGGATTGCCTTTTTAAGCACTAACAAAAAACAAAGACGTGCAGTTGTCTGAGCTTTGAATTGTTCATTTCTGAAACTCTGATTGCTCCGTGTATGATAACTGAAAGTTGAACTCCGGATACAACAACCTTCATTCAAACATACTCCACTAAATCCATCGCTTATGGACCACAGGGGGTAGAAATCTACTTTGGGTGCACCTGTGCAGAGAACGGAGCTGTGGGGATCCAGCAGGCTCCACCCACTACAGGTCGCCTGCAGAAAACTACAGGAGGGGGCAGAGACAAGACCAGTCACCCTGCACAAGGAGAGAGCAGCAGTCAGCGGTCTTTATTACAGGAGGGGGCCGAGACAAGACCAGTCACCCTGCACAAGGAGAGAGCAGCAGTCAGCGGTCTTTATTACAGGAGGGGCGAAGACGAGACCAGTCACCCTGCACAAGAAGAGAGAGCAGCAGTGAGCAGTCTTTATTACAGGAGGGGGCGAAGACAAGACCAGTCACCCTGCACAAGAAGAGAGAGCAGCAGTGAGCGGTCTTTATTAGAGGAGGGGCGGAGACCAGACCAGTCACCCTGCACAAGCAGAGAGAGCAGCAGTGAGCGGTCTTTATTACAGGAAGCTCCAAGTCTCACACTGGATCACTACACAGATCTGAAAGAAATGCACAAAGCTCACCAAGGTTCAAGAAGAATACACATGACTCTTGTACAGTATTTGGAATATTTGCTTATCCCGGAGTTATCGCATTGCAGGCCAGTCATTCTTGGGCCAGTATTCATTTAACACTGTTATTATTGTCTTTGAGGGAACTAAAATTACTTTTAACACTGCACTAATACTGCGTGCAATTGCAGCCGCCGCCATTTTATTCTCCAGCTTTCAGGAAATAAATAATTTTGGGGAGTTTTACGGAATCTTCAAGCCCAAAATGCGCATTTTATCAAGTGTAAACGAAGTGCCAAAACTGCTCCGGCAGCGAAAGTGTATAAGGTGTAAGGGAATGTCTGCGCTGAAGTCTTGTAATTGAGAAACGTGGTGCGTCACCCTTCTGTCTGGATCTTGGGACATTCCCATCTTAAGGATGAATGTAAGGGCTCATTCACTAAGGCGTGCACATCCGTACGGCGTACAGAGACCTGCTCCCGGGAGAGATGGGTGCTGCGTGTATCTCCCTATGGGTGGACGAGGCTACACGCAAACCTGAACCGATGTGGAGGTCTGGGTGCCCACGTTTTGACACAGAGCGTGTGCGTCCAAATGCGAGCACCCAGACGTGCATGGATGTGCAGGTTCGGGTTGTCATGTAGCCACATGCAGCCAAGTTCTCCCATAGGTAGATACAGGTGATTACACGCAGCTATTGCCCCTCCCGGGAGCAGGTCTTTGCACGCCGTATGTATGTGCACGACTGTGTGAGTCGCATCTCTGCGCTCTCTTCTTCTGTAAGCATGTTCACAGTGTTAGACTAACAGCAGTGTGCAGAGAACTAGCATTCTGAATGCTTCCCCCCGCTCTCCTGTCCAGGGCATTACATGTCTTCAGTATGATGGCTGATTAACTTATACTAGCTGTATCTAAAAATGCACGTTCACACATACTGCCATGACCTGCGTTGTTCCACACAGGTCACCGCATAGACACTTGGAAAACAATTGTTTTCTATGTGCCCTATATTCACCACAAGGCAGTGGGCAGTGTGCTGCGATAAAATGCTAACATGCTGCATTATATCGCTGTGCACTGTATGCCCCCACCGGTAACTGCAGCGCAGCACACCACAGGGACCTGAATGGAATGTAGACATTGTACACTACACATAAAGTTACAAAGAAAGAAAAAGTGTAAACAGTGACAGCTCTGGCATTATGCAATACAACACCCACTGCCGGAACTGCCACAACGCACCAGCCTGCCTGCTAAAATGGAGTGTTTTAGGGGGCGGGCTAGTGTGAATGGGTTACAGGCAGAGCCAGCTGTCAGTCACGCAGCTGGGCGGATCCGGACATAATTGTCGGGATCCGCTTCAGCTTCAGCGTCTTAGTATTGCTCGCGGTATACTGCGGCGTTTCAGTATACAGTGAGCTACAGCTTGCGGTATACTGAGCCTAGGGTGATGGGAGGACGCTAGTTTGTGTCCTCCCGTTACCCTAAGGAGAACTATGGGGAAAAGCCTTAACCTAGTTCTCCTTTTAAGGAGTTATCAGTGAATACATAACAAGATGAGAAGGTGTTTCAACCATTTGACCATTGAATGATGCAAGCCGTATTTCTCCTCTTTCGGCAGAGTCTAGCCCAGCTAGAGATCCTGTGCAAGCAGCTCTATGAGACCACAGACACCAGCACGCGGCTACAGGCAGAGAAGGCCCTGGTGGAGTTTACCAACAGCCCGGAGTGTTTGAGCAAGTGTCAACTGCTGCTGGAGAGGGGGAGTGTAAGTATTGGAAACAAAAAGGTAGACGTACGCATACAAAGATGTCTGCAGCCACCACATGTTTTATAGTTCACATGCACTGTTCATAGCATCCACTGTTGTTGTTCTGACCTTTTAGGAAATGTGTTACACTCGCTGCCACGTTCAGACAGGAATGTAGCAGAGTTTAACACTGTTTTAGCTTTTCAGAGGCAAAATTCATAGCATCCACTGTTGCTGTGCTGACCTTCAGGAAATGTCTGTTACACTCGCTGCCACATTTTCAGAGGCAAAGTTCTTTCGATTCAGAGCTGTCTTTTATTGCTGGTTGGAGCATTTAGAGATCCAGCTTAATGATATTTAAAGAAATGAAAACTGGTTCAGGAACTATTTACACAGTGAAACAGTAAGCTGTGCTAAGCAGAAAGCATATTGTGGTGCATTTAAGAAAAAAAAGAACCCCAGGCAAACAAAAAACTAACCCTTCCAATGGTTTTGTATAGTGAGGGCATAAATAAAGCTGTATTACTCGCATTACCCTTGGTCCCTCTGGGCTGTTAGACTGGTCCCCACAGACTCTTCTCCCCCAGGCTCCTGTGGTCTAAGGACAGGTAACGTCATCACGTCTTATGCAGGTCTATTGACATGCAGTAGACGTGAGGACACCGAGGGACAGTCCATAGCCAAAGCTGAGAGGTGAGCTCTGACCGCCGCGGGCCCGAGAATCAGGTGAGTACATATGCTTTATTTGAGCCCCCTAGACAAAGTGAGCACTTCACCCTTGCAGCGCGGGAGTAGCCCCACTACAAGGGTAAGGTCTTTTTTCTTTGCCTGGGGTGACCAAACCATGTACATATCCATTAGAAAATTCTACATAGGAAGGAGCAGAAATGCGTCTGAACAGCTAAACAGCACAGCAAAAAGAAGAAAGTACGCTGTTCAAATGGCACCGCTAAAATAGGTACAGTAATGCCTTGGTTTACAAGTAACTTGGTTTGAGAGCGTTTTGCAAGACAAGCAAACATTTCTGAAAAAATTTGCTTTGATATACAAGCAATGTCTTGCAAAAAGAGCAAAATTTTGTAGAAAAGCACCACCTGAACAAGGCTGTAGCAGTGCGAGCGCTGAATCTGTTTAACGACAATGCAATGTCACATTGGATAGATTCCTTGTTAAGGTTTCACAAAATGAAAAAGATTCCATTGAGCCAAGAGATAGCAGTGATTCCATTAGTGACAGTAAAAGTTGTCATACACAATAATCCTCCTCTCTCTTGTCCCCCTCACACCGGCCACAAAAGGTACCTGTAATTGGTTTATTTTTCTTTATATTTTATATGTTATTATATTACAGTAAAGGTATTGTAATCATTTTATATGAATATTTTTGGGATGTGGAACGAATCATCTGAATTTCCATTATTTCCTATGGGGAAATTTGCTTTGATATACAAGCGCTTTGGATTACAAGCATGCTTCCGGAACGAATTATGCTCGTAAACCAAGGTATTACTGTAATAATGAAATTTAAAGTGCATGTCAGGGAAGGGTTAGAAAGCACAAACGTGTAGTACATCCCTGCAACACATGTACGTTTCCCCAAGTTTTATCCCTAAAAGACCCTTTAAGTACAGAACAATACCTGTTGGTCTGCTGGAAATGCGCTCATCTCCTAAGTCTTGCTATGGGCTGACAGCACACATCATTTTTGTGGGCTGAGTGTTCAGGATAGATGATTGCCCCTGGATGCATCTATCCTATGTCCAGAAACAATCATCCATCTGGAACTACTATTCGGGCTTGTTCACACTGAATGTGATGCGTTCCAGAGCCTTAGCTGCGGGAACGCACGCAATCCCTCACAAAAAATCCCCCTGCGTTCTGGGGAGGGAGGGACAATACAATGGCACCGCTTCCTCGCCCGCAGTGCGATCGGACACGTGGCAAATGTTGCCTGCGTTCCGTTCCACTGCAAATGCAAAAAATAGAGCAAGCAGAATTTTTTTGCAGTGGAACGCAGGCATAGTTTTGCCACGCGTCCGATCGCACTGCGGGCGAGGGGTGTGTGGAAGCGGTGCCATTAAATTCAATGCACCGCCACGCCCCTGAACGCAGGGGGATGTTGTGAGAGATTGCGCTGTGTTCCAGCAGCTACCGCTCTGGAACGCACCGCATTCAGTGTGAACAAGCCGATTATTTTTACATGCAGACTGCCACTAACATGCGGCCGCTGTCACCTGGTCATTGACATGAACGGGCACATCGGCTGCATCTGAACGGCACACCTGGGATTCCTGCAGTAGGAGTGCATAGGTTCTTGCCACAGTCCCTGAAAGCAGCATAAGCACCCCCAACCCCCCCCATAATTGTTATTAGGCATTCCAGGAAAACATTAGGTGCTGTGAAGTGCACGCAGGGGGGGCATTGAGGGGACTGGTCCACGTGTAGGGAACAATTGGGCAAGCGCGGCTAGTCCCGGCACAGAAAATTATGATAACACTGCTAGGAAGCTGTGACTTTGAGATAAGATATCACTGTGAGTGTCATGATTATGGCTTTATGGAACGCACATAGGAATAAAGTACATTATTGCCAATAGACGGTTAGTTTTTCTGCTTTGACCGGAGTTGGCCTTTAAAATATGACAAAGTTTACTCTGCTGAGGCACAAACCACATGTAAAACCTGACAGAACTTCTAACTTTGCACCAAATTAAAAAAAAAACAATGTTTTGGCTGGAGTTGGCCTTTTAAAGAAGAACTCATGGAATTGAAAAAGCTTACCTTTGCTATGGGACTACCCCTGCACTGCAAGGGTTAAGTTCTCATTTTGTCTGGCTCCAATAAAGCAGATACTCGCCTGATCCTCTGCCCTATGGGGCTGCTGGACCGATCCCCTCTTCTCCCCTGCGGTCTCACCACGTCTTATGCAGGTCTATTGACTTATACGAGGATGCTGAGGGACAGCGTCGGAGCGGGGGGGGGGATGAGAGGTGAGCTGCAACCACCTTTGGACCGAGGGAGCCAGCAGCACCAAGGATCCGGTGAGTAATGCTGCTTTATTTCAGCCCCCTAGACAAAATTAGCAGTGCAAGGGTTGCCCCGCTTTTTCTACCTCCCAGAGTACTCAAGTGAACTAAATCTGCCCTCCAGCAATTCTTTTGTTTTTTGTCCTATATCCGCATTGTGTATCACCCCAGAGATCTGCACAAGTCCAAACCCACATGATGTTCCTCCAGTCTCCTAGGTAGCAGATGATCTGTAGATGTTGTATCATCACTTGGCTGAGACTGGGTCATTCAGGTGTTGTACTTCAGAATGTAATCAGTGTCAGTATTTTTCAGTCTAACAATGGGAGGCCGATCTGAAGCACAGTACAGTGGTCACATCCGCTTCAGAGCTGGTGCAGACCTGGGCGATCCGTGAAGCGCATCCCACGCCTGCAAGATTGCATGCGGTTGCACACATTGGTTTCCGTGTGGCCCCATTGATTTCAATAGGGTTACATCCACGTGGCAATCGCTGGGGGAGAAAAAAGGTACATGTACCTTTTTTTTTTTTTTTTTTTTTTTTGCGACACACGACGCTCTGCTTTTTATTTTACCTGCAATCGTGTTCGCTTGCACAGGCGCGATCCTCCCAGTGAGACTGAGGTGCCACTAGAGAAGAATGGCACCACCAGCACAATCAGCGGTGGTGTGCGACTCCGTGACAGCACAGCAATCTGCGCAGTTTTGTGCATTATTGCCTCGCGGTCACGGATCGCGCAAGTGTGAACCTGGCCTTATGGAGTCCCAGGAACAGAGTCTTGTTGTGGCCAGGCTATTGTTCCAGCATCTATTAATGTTGTGACACGCTGAACGCGAAGCGGTGGCGCGCTGCCTTCGCATGCAGTGTGTCATGTCATTTTTCTCTCCGGCACGTCGGCTTGCCGAGATGAAAAATTTCATCTTCAGTAAATCGGCTCGCACATCAGGATGCAATGTCTGGCCGGTTGTTACGTAGGAGCCAATTGGCCGAAGGTGCAGTTACACAGTGCACGCAAAGCTCCGTGCCGGACGGCTTTGTGTGCAGTGCGTCACGGGCTTTAGTAGAACAGATACATTGCAGATGATGATCAGTCATAAAACTTCAAAAATGAAGGTTTAGCTGCTAAAAGGCTCCAATTTCAGGCTCCCATGCAGCTTCCTCCAGTGTTTGGTTGGCTGGAAAAGTGGAGCGCTAGCTCATCTGCCTTTGTTTCTCATTGCCATGTCATCTCACACACTAGTAGCCCCTCTGCGTTTCTTCTCATGAGTTTTCGCATGGTCCAAGTGAATGACCCTGGTGTGCACAATAACTGCTAATAGGAATACAGATGGATAGTAACCTGTCTCATATCTTCTTACTGCACTGTTTACTGTACAACATATACATGAGTAACGTGTCGCTGTTGCATTGTTTTTAAGGAAGCAAAAGTGTAAGCTGACATTTCCTGTCTGTCTTTCCAGTCTTCATATTCCCAGCTACTTGCTGCCACATGTCTAACCAAACTGGTGTCCCGGAGCAGCAACCCCCTCCCGCTGGAGCAGAGGATCGATATACTTGACAACTTTTTCAATAATCGATTATGTCGATTAGTTGTTGCAGCCCTATACGTGAGTACACAGCATAGGCTTGATGTCATGGCGCTGGGGTTGTGATGTGGATCAGCGTGTTTATAACTAGGGATGCACCCATACTAGTATCGGTATAGGTGCCTATACCGAGTATTTGGGCGAGTACTTATACTCGCCAAAATGCTCTGATACTATTCCTGATCCTGGAATTTCCGCTATCAGTAAGTCGGGCGGCGTGTAATGACTCGCTGCACAGCTGGGAAGCTTGGACAAACCAGCTGATTGGCTGGGAAGCTGGACAATCAGGAAGCCGGGCTGGCGAGTCATCACCTGCCCCCGGCTTCCTGATTGGCAAGACAGGCAGGTTCAAGCTTCCTCATCACCTGTTGATGGTCTGTATCCAATCCACCTATGGGTGGCAGCATAACCCGAAGGGTAAGGACATTGAAGGGAATTTATCAAATCTGGAGCAGCTGTGCATGGCAACCAATCAGCTTCTCTCTTCCATTTATTCAGTTAAGATTTGAAAATGAAAGAGAGAAGCTGATTGGTTTCCATGCACAGCTGCTCCAGTTTTTGTCTGCTCCAGTTTTGATAAATTCCCCTCATTGTATCCCCAAATAGACTCCAAGAAAAGGATGGCAAGTTGAATCTTATTTTCCTGAGCCACATACTTGTTCCTTGTAAGTTGGTCTGCGTAATAGCCCGATAAGTAGCGTTTCCAGTAGGCGGTGACAGGTAAGTGTTTTACCGGTAGGATCACAAAGTGAGAAAAGCTTAAAGAAGAACTCCTGGATTTTTTATAAACTATCCCTTGCAGCAGGGCTACCCACACACTGCGGGGGGATTAAGGGTTCGTGGGCTAGGGGTGAGAATAAAGAAGAAATACGCGCCCGACCCTCAGTCCTCCGGCAGTGACCGCTTACCTCTCTCCCCCATTGCTGTGGCATGTCCCTGCGCATCTTTGTTTAATGGACCTGTACTAGATGTGATGACATCACTGGTCTGCGGACCGTTGGAGTGGATAGGGAGAGAGGCCGTGGGGACCGGTCTAGCAGCCAGGTGGGACCAAGGTTTAGGTGAGTATATCTTCTTTATTTTGGTCCCCCTAGACAAAACAAGCATTTAACCCTTGCAGCCACCACATCTGAGGACCGGTAAGCTCTGATATTACACAGCATCTGTTACCCTTAGGAGAACTACGGGGAAAAGCCCTGACCCCATAGTTCTCCTTTTTAATAGTTGCATTTACAGTTTATACAGCTTCTAATTCTGTCTTCTACCTTTCAGGAAACTATGTGCTGAACTACCTGGCTACTCGCCCCAAGCTTGCTTCATTCGTCACCCAAGCCCTGATCCAGCTGTACGCTCGCATCACCAAACTTGGCTGGTTTGATTGTCAGAAGGACGAGTATGTGTTCCGTAGCGTCATTGTGGACGTCACACGCTTCCTACAGGTGAATATGTACTGGGGTAAATGGTACAGCTGGAAATGATGGATGACCTCTTAGAAAATGTTACTTCAGGTAGAGGGAGATTGAGCGTTCTTAATGCCAAAACAATGGTTAGAAGACAGCGGAGCTGGATGGGATTTATGATAGAGCAGGATTTGAAGAGTCCGGGGGGTCGAGATATATTCAGAATCTTGCTGGCTGTAGTCATCTTGCAATGTGGTGACATGGTACAGCTATATGTGGCCGTATCATTTGCCTGCTGTTGTTGGTATATTTGCACCTAAGCAGCCAAATTTGAGAAATCCCCGCTATGTTTTTTAGTGTTCCCATTCACAGGAGCATACCTAGAATAAAAAAAAAAAACCTTTTCCATTTGTTTCTCTGTAGCAGGATTATACATGGGCTCTATCGGTAGCTTCTAGTGTAGCGGATAGCTTGCAGGGTGCTTATTAGTTCAATAACATGCAATGTACCACCCAAGCCTTGGGACCTTTAACCCTTTGTTAGGACAGAGTTCTAAGATCTGCTAGCACAGTACAGATGGGGTTAACTCTGTTAAACATATCTCCCCAGCCCCCTCCTTTAAAAGGTTACTCCACTTTCTCAGGTGAATTTGGGAAAATGGAATTACTACCCCCAATTTGACCGCTCCGCCACCCCCCTGCTGTATTTACCCTTGCCTGAACGCTCATATCCCTCCGGAGCATAACCTTGATCTCATTATCAGTTGTAAACTAGTTGTGAACACTCTGCCCTAACATAAGGTTAGAGGTCCTAAGGTTTGGGTTACAATAAAACAACATTTTGTTTGACATTCATCAAGTGTCTGATGGCATTATCGGGTGGAAAATAAAGATCTTTGGTTCAGAAACCTGCTAGTGTATGGCCAGCTTTAGGGCCGGTTTACACCACAAAGAGTGCATTCCGGAGCATTCGGCCACTGCAAAGCAACCCGGCCGGCTCCCTGCGGGAAGGGGCGTGGTGGTGCATTGAATTCAACCAATGGCATCGCACCAACGTCCCCTGCTCGCAGTGCGATTGCCGGCACCCAAATGCGTGGCCTGCGTTCCAGTCCAGTGCGATCTGCAAATTGCTGCAAGCACTATTTTTTGTAGATCGCACTGGACCAGAACGCAAGCACTAATGTGCCACGCGTTCGGGTGCCGGCGATCGCACTGCGGGCGGCGTGGCTGCGGTGCCATTGACTTCAATGCACCGCCATGCCCCTGAATGCAGGCAGCCGGCCGGGTTGAGTTCCAGTGCGCTCCAGATCCTGACCGCTCTGGAACGCATTCTTTGTGGTGTGAACCGGCCCTTAGCCTTTATGCCGACTGTCAGGATATGGGTCAGACATGTTGGACAATCTCTAGGAGAGGGGACTAGTGATGTGTGCATATTCCTCCATTGAGAATTAATTGAACGCAATCTGTTCCGTGGATGTCGGATGATAGAATGATGAAAGAATCCGACTTTTCCTGAATGATCTCCTTCCCTTCTATAGTGTATAATACCTCCCATACAGCAGGATGGTGTGCCGTACACTGCTGATCACTGAACATTTTCTCCTTTACATGATGACTGTGATGCATTGTAGTGTAGGGCCACTGGACTGGATTATTTCCTCTAATCTCTTCTAATCCTCCCCCCCGGCTCAGCATTGTCAGTGCTGTCAGGTCCTCTTTTGTCTGTCCGCACTGACCCTGTTATGCGATACATCACATCTACCATTTGCTGGATTTGTGCCCCGGTTTAATAACCCCCCTTCAGCTACGAGAGGCTGCTAATTTCATTATTTGTTTTGGGGATAATTATGTGGTTTGACTTGTTAGTATTTCTTGTTCAGGCAATCCTGAGTTATAAACATCGGACTTCCATACGACCCCTACTTACAAACGGAGGCTATTACTGTACAGCAGGGGGTCCCAGGCTGCAGCCAAAGTGTACCGCGCAGCATTTCAGTCGTTGTAATGCTACCGCGCTCGTGCCGCGAGGAGTCCCCGCCTTTTTGGCTCTGGTTTGTAGTACTGTATGTACATTACAGGGAGTTGGCTCTTGTTAGACGTGCAGACGAGGGGTGCACGCCTCTTCTTCCGGGTCACTGTGCGGTTTTTAGTGCTGTCTGTATCCTCATTAGAAAGATTTAATCTCACTTCCTGTCCTTGAGACAACAGGAAGTGAGAGGAAATCTACCCCTAGGAATGGAAATTCACTCCTGTAAGAGTGATCATGGGAAAAAGGTGTCTCCACTTTATTACCAATCCTTGTTACCACGACAACCCAAAATGTTCAAAATTCAATTGTCACAGAGACAGAAAGTGAGGTGAAATCTTCTGAACAGGGGCACACGCAGCAAAGCAAACTTTACAGGGGGTTAACCCTTTGCTATCCAAAACGAAAATAAATGTTTTGGCTGGAGTTACACTTACAAAATGTACCTGTTCCAACTTACATACAAATTCAACTTAAAAGAGAACTATGGGGTTAAGTCTTTTCCCCATAGTTCTCCTTAGGGTAACAGGAGGACACAAACTAGCGCCCTCCCGTCACCCTAGGCTCAGTATAGTGCAGTATGAGACGCCGCAAGCAGCTGCTCGCGGTATACTGAGACGCCGGAGCGGATCCCGTGACTGACAGCTGCGTGACTGACAGCTGGCTCTGCCTATCTAGAGGCAGAGCCAGCTGTACCCGCCCCCTCCTCCGTCCGTTCCGCCAGTCAGCGCTGGCGGGGAGGGGGGAATCCAGCCCCTCCCCTGTCACGGCAGAGAGCTGTGACAGGATCGAGAGGTGAGCGAACGCCGGTATGTGTTCGCTCACCTCCCGATCTACTGAGCCGACCTGTGACAGTCTCATTGTCGCAGGTCTGCTAGAACTATGAGGTGAGTGAAAAGCACGCCCCTCGTAGTTCTCCTTTAAGAACAAACCTACAGAACCTATCTTGTTCGTAACCCGGGGACTGCCTGTACCTCCATTATCATTGATATAATTGAGGGTACGTTCACACCAGCAGCCGCACTCAAAAGCACAGCTTCTGGTGTTCAAGTCCCCGTACAGTGCCGATGTGCTCGATTTGAGGATGCTTCCAGAAAATATATAATTTATTTGGGGATTTAAGCAATTTTCAGGCCTGAAATGTGTTTTATGTGCACACAAAAAAAAGCAAAAATGGCTCTGGCAGCAAAGTGGTTAATTAAACCTAAATGCAGGAGTGCTAGAGTGACTGTGACCTTACTATGGCATGCCTGTTTTTATTCACACTGGACCCCAAGCATCAAGTTGTTGGATCCCCATCAGTCTGCGTTTTTGGTATCCCAAGCGCTTAATTTATAAAAGCTGCACCCGGCGTTTTCCGTTAACACGGCACCAGCACCCCTAGATGGCGCTTATGTGTATAGGAAGTTCCTGATCTCTGATGATGGGATCCCAGCGCTTGCGCCCCTTATCTTAAGCCGCGTCATATTATTCTGATATACAGTTGTGCACAGTTGATCATTTTATTTTTGTTTATAAAGCATTGGAACGAGACCGATCACTAAGGAATTTACCTGGATGCTTGCCTCCTGCTCTTCATTTTGCAATAACCGGCATCTGTTTGCTCTCTCTACAGGACAGCGTGGACTATTGCGTCATCGGTGTCAGTATTTTATCCCAGCTGACCAATGAGATCAACCAGGTAAGTGACACCTTCGTGAATGTGCGCCAGAATCGGCATACCAGGATCTCCGGTGTTTTCTTCACACTGATAATCGTTTCAGTTCAGTATTCGGTGATACTTGTCCGTGTTTGTCTCTCAGTGTCAGGAATTAGGGAGTTCAGTGTACAGAACTGAGAAATCTTTTATGCAGACAGCTAATAAAAATAGTTTGAGCAGCCCAGACCTGGCCCGGGGCCTGAACGTGTAGTACAGTCTTATAGCTTTTCTTAGTAACATGGAGGGACTTTCCCGGTCCAGGGTGGGACTGGCACGGTGATGGGGTGAGATCACAGAGAAATTTACAGTTTTCCAAAGCAGTCATCTTACCTGAAGGACGGCCTTGGCTCAGAAACCCGCAAGAATGATACTCGTATGCCGGCTTATATTAATGGAGATGTAGACCCCAACTGGGTGGCATGTCGTTTACTAGAACGCTGTGTATCATAAAGTCCGTGTTCTGATTTATATTTAATAAATTACTATTCTCACCTTTTATAAATCCCTTCTTGCATCTCAGGGCTGGTGCACACCTAGGCGATTTATCGCGTGGTTTGATTCACGCAAAACAAAGACTCGCATTGAAGTCAATTGAGGCTGCTCACACTTTTGCAGTTTGTCGCACGGTTTGGGTCCCATAGACATCTCTATGCATTGAAAAACGTGCGACAACAGCTTGGCATCTGAATCGCCTAGGTTCACACATCATTGCTCTGGTACGACTTGTGTGAATGGAAAACGCCAGGTGGAGGTTTTAGCCTGGGTTCACACCTGGGCGTTCAGGATCTGCGCATTTTATGCGCGACTTTCTGTCCAGAAACGCGCGTGTACGAAATCTCTAATCAGAAGTCCAATGGATACGCGCTGAAATCTGCCCCAAAGAAGCTCAAGTACTATTTTGCGCGTAGGGCGTTTTTCAGCGCGACAAAACACGCTGAAATACGCCCAGGTCGGAACCATGCCCATAGCAATTAATAGGATTTCACTTCTTGAGCGTTTTTTTCTGCGCTTCGATCAGCGCTGAGAAACGCCCAGGTGTGAACCCAGCCTTATAAATGAAGCGCTTGGGATACCAAAAACAGTGCGGTTTTCAATGAACAGTCGTGCGATTGAAAACAGATCGGCATCTGAATTGCATAGGTGTGAACATAGGAGATTCAAATGACGAGCGGTTGTCGCGCTTTTTCGTAGTCGGTCCAGAGCAATGATGTGTGAACCTAGGCGATTCAGATGCCGAGCTGTTTTTGCGCGACTGTCGAGCGTTTTTCAATGCATACAGATGTCTATGGGACCCAAACCGTGCGACAACCGGCCAAAAATCGCTCCTGCATCTTTTCGCGCGACAAACCGTAAAGGTGTGAGCAGCCTCCGTTGATTTCAATGGGAATCTTTTGCGCGATATTTCGCCCTTAATGCTGCTGATGTCCTCCAGCCTTTTTCAGCCCACATACAGTCGCTTGCAGTCCATCTCCGGGCAAACCAATAAACTACCCTTGCAGTGGGACTGCCCCATAAAAGCTGTTTTTCGTACCTGATCCGCACTACCTAGCTACTAGCTCCTTGACCGGTCTTCACAGCCTCGTCTGCCCTTTGCTCCGACAGTCTATGGACGCCTGATATCATCTTGGCTAAAACAAGTTCCATAGATCTGCATTAGACGTTAGGATGCCAAGGGGCAGGCCACAAGCTGGAGGGGAAAGAGAGAGCGCTGGCTACTGTCAGACCGGGGATCAGGTAAGTAAAAGAGCTTTAAACCCAAAAAGGCCCCCCACCTCAAGCATTTTTTCTTTAAAGTTCAGCTTTAAGATCAGTATGGCTTAAAGCAGCTCGGCATTACGGATATCACTGGATTTTTGGTGAGCCGGCAGCATACAATTATAAAAATGTGCATGTATGATTAACAGATGAGGGCTTTATGGTCTCTTTATAGGCAGATGCCACTCACCCTCTGACCAAGCACCGCAAAATTGCCTCATCCTTCCGAGACTCATCGCTGTTCGATATCTTCACCTTGTCCTGCAATTTGCTCAAACAGGTGAGGCGTGAATACTTTCACATTTCATTCTATTTTGCCCAATACAGACTTCTCTTTGCAATCTGTCTTGTTTTCATGAATAGTTTGAATGTGCTGAACTTTTAAAGATGACCTCTGGCACACCGCTAAATACACAGGTGCATTATATAAAAGCGTTTTAGCTGGTAACTAATCAGGAATACTCAGTTCCCAATGACTGCCCTGCCTAGGGGCTGGTGCCGTGTTTACATTGTCCCATGCTGGAACCAAGGTGAAGACAAGGGGGGCGATTCTTTTGAAGAGTGGCCCCTAGAGAATAATGACCAGTCTGGTACAGAACCTTCTTCCATCATCTTTGGTGCATGCCTCTTTAGACTGTATAAGAACTCCAGAGTTCACAAACACTAGCCTATACCAGGGCAAGCCAGACAATGGGAATGGAGCTTTCTGGGTAGAAGATTAAAGTCCATTCTATTTACGGAATTGGTGTAGACCACAGGTGGGCTAACTCCAGCTGCGGTGAAACTACAAATCCCATGATGCATCTGTCTCTGGGAGTCATGCCCGTGGCTGTGAGACTCTTGCAATGCCTCATGATATTTGTAGTTCCACAACAGCTGGAGGGCTGGTGTTTGCCCACCCTTTGTGTAGACCCTGGGACTTGGAGATCCATGCTTCTTACACTAGATGTACTGTAGTGCTTTAACATCCATTCTCTTATTTGCTGATTTACCTGAAGTGCAGAATATTAATATCCTATCATTCTTAAAAGCCGTGACTATGATCATTTTCTCTTCCCTTTTGTTTGTAGGCATCTGGCAAGTCATTGCTTCTATCCGATGGGTCTCAGCACGATCTGCTCATGCAGCTCCTAAAACTTACACACAACTGTCTGAACTTTGACTTTATTGGCACTTCCACAGATGAGTCCTCCGATGATCTATGTACAGTGCAGATTCCCACAAGTTGGCGCTCAGGTGGGTTACAAGGTAGAGGGCTTTTTAAAGGGGTTTTCTGCTTTCATTCAGATAATAGGCAACCCTTGCCTTGGTAGTTTGATTCTTGATGGCATGGGGTTTCCTCCCCCTCCCTTTGGATACCTATGGGTGGCTGTGTAAAAAGCAATTTGTAGGTTGCTAGAACTTTTGGAGCTGAAGAATTTACATAGCTCTGGCTTGGAAACCATTTTGCTTTTAGTTGGTTCTGAGACTTAAGCATCTCTTAATGCTTCAGTCCCTTCAGAGTGACTTACATGATCATGAAAAGGCTGTCAGACCAAAGATTGAGAAGGATCTGCCCACTTGTTAAAAGTAAAAGATCCAGTTTAGAGGCTGGTCTGTTCAGATTTTGGGGATGATTTAATATGGGAAAGATATCTAGATAAAATTTGGATTGGGAACTACTATACTTATTAACATGAAGTCATTTGTGTGTTTTTACATCTGCAGCCTTCCTGGACTCTTCTACACTACAGCTGTTTTTTGACCTCTATCATTCCATTCCTCCCAACTTCTCCCCACTGGTGAGTGCTTATTGGAGCCTCTGGTGACTATGGTGGCATCATTTTGTCTTACAACTTGCATATCACAACCTCTCTTTCTTTACAGGTCCTCTCCTGTCTGGTACAGATTGCCTCTGTGCGACGTTCCTTATTTAATAATGCAGAAAGAGCCAAGTTCCTCTCTCACCTGGTGGACGGGGTGAAGAGGATCTTGGAAAACCCCCAAGTAAGTTTATAATGCGAAAGACTTCATGGAGGTGTGTAATGTAAATCAGTGTCTGCTATGACGCAGTCATGGGACTCTGGTACTTTTGTGCAGGGCACTGGAATGTCTCTAAACCTAAAAGAGAAGCAAAGCCAAACTTTTTTGGGGCTTTATCTCTTTTGGGTCACAGGAGGACATTTATTAATGTCCTCCTGTGACCAAAGTTAGCAAATAGCTGGCTTCTGCAACTATATGCTGACAGTGCAGAGCCGCAACACAACCGGGAAGGATCGCAACAATGTTGTTGGGTACCACTTGGCTGCCTGGTTGACAGCTGGCTTTGCCTCTCTAGAGTCAGATCCAGCTCTGCCCGCCCCCTCCCCTGTCTGTCTTCCAATGAGCGCTGGAGGAACAGAGAGGGTGGGCGAATCTCTGCGGGGAGCGATGACTGACGGTCACTGCTCTTTGCACCGAGATGACCATGAGCTGGTTACATGATTGCTCAGCTCTCAGTATATAGAGCTGCCGTGTGACACCTCCATTGTCCCACATCAGCTCTAAGTATTGGGAAGACTATAGTTAATTTTTTAAGGAATGACATGACAGATGCATATTTGTAGTGCTGCGTGTTTTTGCTGACTCTTAAACTAGTCACCATCTTTTTCTTGTCTTGTAGAGCCTGGCTGACCCCAATAACTACCATGAGTTCTGCCGATTGCTAGCCCGACTGAAGAGTAATTACCAGCTTGGAGAGCTGGTGAAAGTAGAGAATTACCCAGAAGTCATCAGGCTGATCGCTAATTTTACTGTCACCAGTCTGCAGGTAGGTCTGAGTGCACCGGAAATGATCACAGACCCCTGTGAGGTGTGGAGGTAACAGCAAGCTTGTGTATATGTTTTCCTGAAATGTAACTGCATAGTCTTTAAACTTGACCTGCTGAGGGGAATTTGACTGGAAATTAAAAAGTTGAACTCCAGCCAAAGGCTTTTTTTGGAAGATTATTTTCAGGTAAACACAACATATTAATCCCCCTCCAACCCACCAATCCACCCTGCAAATTTGTATTTTCTTTTTATTATCTTGTAAAGCAAGATATACCTGGCTACATGCGCCATCCAGGTCCCTTGCTGGCACAGTTTGCAGGTGCAGGAGGCTAGTTATCTAGTGCTGGAGATGTACCTGTGCGCTGACTGGTCCCTGAACGTCCCCTTGCACTGATGTCACGGCCCTCTAGATGCGACGAGGGCCCCTCTTCTAGACAGTCAATAGCAGGCCTGCATTCATGTTATGGCCTGAGTGACGTGGACACCCGAAGAAGGACCCTGGCTTCCGTAAACTGAAGAAGAGAGACCTGTGATGACCACAGCTGTAGGTGAGTAAATAGGGCAGTTAGGGTGTTTTTTTTATTGTGCGTTTTTTTTGTTTTTTTTTTGCCATGATCTGTTAAATGGTGTTGGGGTACAGCCATCGGATAGTGTGAAGCTGGCTTTACCTTGTCAACACCCATTTGGCCATTCAGAAAATCTTCAAATGAACAGCCAACGCGCTGCCACCTCGGTTCGTTTGTTCTGACAGCGGCGAGTGTATGACCAGCTTAAGAAAAGGTTAGTCTCTTTGTCTGCCGGCATTACTGCATTGGGGAACTATTCCCTTAATTCTTGTCCTAGTGACACCGGGCATTAAAGTAAGCCGAAGGTCCTGTTTAAGGCCACTAGAATGTGTTTGCTGACAGAAGCTTTTACTCTTAGTCCTCGTTCACACCAGACACGGTGCGTTCTGGCCAGAACACACTGCATCGCATTGCGGCCAGCTTACTGTGTTGTGGGGCAGGGGGGGCATGGCGGTCCATTGAAGTGAATTGTTCGCACTGCCTACGGTCCAGTCCGAACAAAGTAGTGCTTGCAGCATTTTGTTTGGACCGGACCAAAGGCATTGATGTGCCTTGCGTTCCCTTGAGGCTGATCGCATTGCAGCTGGAGGGCATGGCTACGGTACCATTCACTTCAATGGTCTGCCACGCCCCCTCCTTCCCCATAACATAGTGAGCTGGCCGCGATGCAGTGCGTTCTGGCCAGAATCAGGCTGGAACGCAATGTGTCTGGTGTGAACGAGGCCTGAGACTAAGAGCACTGCAAACCAACAAGCTGCCTATTGGCCATACCTCAATGCAAGGTATTGCTCTTTGCTATCTGGTTATTGTTCTATTGACTTAACAGCACCCTCCAGTAACTAATCTGAATTTCCAGGACCCATGTGTGCGTTTCTCTTGTCACATGGCATCTAGATCTCAAAGGAGAGCCGCAAAGAGTAAGTTTCTATTGATGAGAGGAGATTGCTGTGTATTCTTTGTAAGGAGCACGTATGTCCCCCACAGTGTCTAATACCTCACCAAGCAGTCAATACAGCAATAGGGAGTATAGAATACATCAAAATTCAACACTGTTATTATGACATTTCAGTATGTAACTACTTCCTAACTCTTATCTGATGCACAGTTCTCTTGCATTTTGCATAAACCGTTTATTTCCGTGTCCCTTGTGTTTTCCAGCATTGGGAATTTGCACCAAACTCAGTACATTACCTCCTAAGTCTATGGCAGCGTCTTGCAGCATCTGTTCCCTATGTGAAGGCTACGGAGCCGCATCTGCTGGAGACCTACACTCCAGAGGTGACAAAAGCCTATGTCACATCTCGCCTGGAGTCCGTGCACATAATCCTCAGGTAAATGGATCAGCATGGGTAGTAAGAGCCAGAAGAGGAAAAAAAATCATTTTAGATTGGTCTCTGGGGCTTACCCTCCATGGAGAGCTCCTGGGTTGTTAGGATTAGTTCACCACATGGACCTTGTTTAAAAAAAAAAAAAAAAGGGAAACGTGACCTGCAGTTTAGTGGGACCAGAAGCCTGGGTTTTATTTGTGCTCTGGGACAACACAGTGGCTCTTCTGGCACTTCTTCCTTGCAGCACTGGGGACCTCCGTTTCAGTCCACTATCTGCATGGAGTTTGCATGTTCTCCCTGTGCTTGCATGGGTTTACTCCAATGACATCCTGGTAGGATAGTTGGCCCTAGCGTGTGTGTATATATGTGAGATAGGGACCTTTGATTGCAAGCTTCTTCAGGACAGGGACGGATGTGAATGAATATTATGTATAGTGCTGCGTAAATTGATGGTGCATATAAATACCTGTAATTATAAGTCTTCAAGCAGACTGCGCTCCTAAAAGCACATGTTACGCTGCATTTCCTCGGACTGCCACTCTGATGTGTGAGCTGTACAGATAATGGATTTCAACTCCCTTTAAACTGCTGGTTGACTTTCTGCTTTCTTATATGTGGGCTGTACTTAGTCCTGTGAGATAGACCTTTAGTAAATTGGCTCCCTGTTTCTTGTTCAGTAGATTTTATTAATGTTTTTGCAGGTACAAAAAAAAAAGATGCTGGTGGAAACATAAATACATATTAATAATAGATGTGCACCGAAATGAAATTTTGAAACCAAAAAACTTTTTTTTTTTTTTTTTTAATAAATATTTTTATTTTTTAACTTGGGGGCTTCAGGGAAATATTAGGGGTCTAAACAGACCCCTGATATTTCCCTTTTTAAAATAGAAGAATAGATTAAGGACACAGAGTCCTCAATTTCTTTACCTGCATCTCCTGTTATCAATGAACAGGAATCCTCTGAGTGTTCCTGTTCATTCATAACGTGAGGACAGAGTATGTTTACTATAACCACAATCATAAATGGGCAGGAGGGGATGTAGATCTCTTCCCATTCATAATTGAGGATATAGTAACCATACTCTGTCCTCAATTATTTACAAACACTCAGCGATTGCTGACTGCTTGTAACACAAATGTATAGATCATTTTTTCCCAAATAATTTTTATTGAAAATAAAATGTTTCAGGGTTACAAAACAGATTGTAAAACACACATATAGGTCCAATGTACAAGGTAACAACATACTTCCATATCAGACCTCAGAGGGCAAAACGTCAATTGTAACAATCGGTTTCACGGTAAGGCCAGCCTAAGCATACTTAAGTAGGTTCGTTGAACATCGCGGGTATTTACCATGACTATTTGTGGTATTGAAAGCTACCAGGGTAGCCCGTCAAGTTTGGAACCTCAAACATAAGTAAGGGCACCAGTTGGCACTGAAACCGATCTTTTCCGGGTCCGATATTCATGTTAACATAGGTACATCAGATGATGCGGGGGAAGGATCTCAGGAAAGCATAGAAAGGTGGGGGAAAAGTGGGGTGAAAGGAGAGAGGTGGGGAGAGTCTGGCTGTGGGCGACAGGGACCAAATTGATGCAGCAGTGTGAGGTGAGCTCGTCATCACAATGTGAGGAGGCGACGATGGGTATAGATAATTTTTTACTATAAATATATCAGTCTAAGAAGCACGATAAAGACAATCTAAGAAGGGAACTCCTGTGTGGGTCAGTTGATTTGCATTAGAGTGTGTGAGAGGGGTAAAGGTCTGCTTAATGTGTATTTCCACTTTTGCAGACAAATTTGAGAAAGCGCCATTATGTTTGTGTGTTCCTATTCAGCAAACCTAAAATAATAATAATAATTAAAAAAAAAAAAATCCTACCTTTTTAGATGTGTCTGCATAGGAGGCCATTGCAAGCTTTTGTCTCATTTGCCAGCTGACAGGAAACACTTTCTGTCCACACAGAGGGACAGACCGAACTTCCTCTCATTGACATACACGGCTTCCGGTATTAGGAAGCCGGGCAGCGCCGTCTCCATGCTCCCTCGTCACCTGGTGACGAGGAAGCATGAACACTGCTTCCAGGCCAATCAGGAAGCCGGGTGCTGCATAATGATGCGTGTCCGACTTCCTGATTTGGCCAGCTTCTCAACCAATCAGAAAGCCGGGCAACGCGTCATTAGACGGTGGTCGACTTCCTGATTGGCCGGCTCCGTGCTTCCTCGTCACCTGGTGACAAGGGAGCACGGAGACGGCTTCCTTTCTGATTGGGAAACCAGGTGGCGAGTCATTACACGCCGCCTGGCTTCCTTAATGGAACTTCCGATATTAGTATTCAGTATCGGTGAGTACCGTAAAAAAATATCGGTACTTGATGCTGAAAAAACGGTATTGGTGCATCCCTATTGACCACCATAGGTTTTGCTTAGTTCCGTCATGTCCTCAGCCCTGGAAACAAAGCACTGGGTATTGAGGCGATGGCAATGCAGGAAGGAGTAAGGTACCACCAAGATTTTTCTAAATTAAGGATATTAAATGAACTTCTGTCTGTAGAGGACAAACTTTCCTCCCATTCTGTATCGGATAGAAGTGGCGTTTTAGGCAGTAAACTGGAGCTTATTTGTATCTATATAACATGTTTTTTGGGGGGTGACTTCTGCTGAAAGACCTTCATCTAACTGATCTCTCTGCAGGGATGGCCTGGAGGATCCACTTGACGATGCCGGACTGGTGCAGCAACAGCTGGATCAGCTCTCCACCATTGGGCGCTGCGAATATGACAAGACGTGTGCACTCTTGGTACAACTGTTTGACCAATCAGCACAGACCTATCAGGAACTTCTTCAGAGTGGATCGGCCCCCAGCATGGAGCTGGCTGTGCAGGAGGGTGAGGATCCATGTGTACAGGCCAGAAGCATGTGTTGCTTTTGCTCATAGACTCTCTCTTTCTATGTGGAGGCTGGTAAACATGTTCCTGCTATCTCTTGGCTTGAATTAGTTTACATTTCTTGTATCAAGTCTTAGGATACCAACATTCTCTATAAAAACTGAGTCATACAGCCACTTGGTTCACAGAATATGTTTAGCCGCCGCAGTCAATTTCCTCTGAGCATAGAAGATAGAACGGTGACCAATTATTGTTTGAAAGTCCCACTTTTGTTCCTTGTGTTCTATATATGTATATGGATGATATGCTGTCCAGATAAAACCGGCATCTCTTCTTTTTATTGGCACTCTGTTCTTACCATATCTTTTCCTCCTTTCTGCAGGTCGCCTCACTTGGCTGGTTTACATCATCGGAGCGGTGATTGGAGGTAGAGTCTCATTTGCCAGCACTGATGAGCAGGATGCCATGGATGGAGAACTAGTATGTCGGTAGGTATTGCAGTAAAATTTGGAAGCATAGCTGTGAAGTAATCAGGATCTATGATGCATGTTAGGGGAACATCACCCTCCCGGGGTTCGTTTTGCTTTTAATACCCTTTTTTTACCTGTGGGTGATGCTCTGGTAACATACTCGCACACCCTACAAATCCAGTGTGTCCTGCTCTGATCCGACAACGCACGTACACCGGAGCTGGCTGTCTCTTTCCTGGTCCCTGATGACCACTTCCAGGTCTGCTCTCCTCCAGCCACTGTTTAGATGTCGATGCCTTTTGGGGTATCTAACGTTGATATCCCAGGAGACTGCTGGAGTAGGGCTGGTGTCCTCCTTGCCTAGGCGAGAATCGACGCGGGGGGGCGGGATGAGAAGAAAAAAAATAAAAAGGGCATTTTATTTTTTTTATGAGTTGCAGTGCAGCAAAGTAGTTTCTTTTTGTTTTGCCATGAAGGTCTGCTTTAAGAGTTTTTAAAGGTCAAAGTGAAGAAGTAGATATAGACATTGAAAAGTAACATGAGCAGCCTGCTCTCCAGATCAGTGGCCGGCTTAACATTGTTGGACTAGCCCACAGATGCACTTTAAGGCAGGGGTGGGCAACTCCGGCCATCCAGTACTTTAACTACAAATCCCAACACCCCTCTGCCTCTGGGAGTTATGCCTGTAACTTGTCAGTCTTGCAATGCCTCATGGGACTTGTAGTTCCACCCCAGCTTTTAGGTGAATTGTGGTGTATCCTGACTTCAGATTGGTACTATTCGCACATTGTTGTCATTCATTTCTTGTAATTACTATTTACTTACGCTTCTATACCTCATCTTGTTTTCTTTCATTTGATAGAGTTCTCCAGCTCATGAACCTCACCGATTCCCGTCTAGCACAGGCTGGCAATGAGAAGCTGGAACTCTCTATGCTAAGCTTCTTTGAGCAGTTCAGGAAAATATACATTGGGGATCAGGTGCAGAAGTCCTCCAAGGTGAGTAGGGTGGCCAGTTAGGACTGAGCAGTAGATGGATCTCTTTTTCCATCATTCCCTCATCTTATTTTTATTTTCTCTTCGCTGCAGCTTTACCGTCGTCTTTCGGATGTGTTGGGTCTGAACGATGAAACAATGGTGCTGAGCATCTTTATTGGCAAAATGTGAGTGCTACTTCTGTCATAAACATCCGACTCTTTGTATAAAAAACTAAAGCTCCGAGATAACCTGTTCTTTTGTTCCTGCAGAATCACAAATCTGAAGTACTGGGGCCGCTGCGAACCCATCACATCGAAGACCCTCCAGCTGCTGAATGACTTGTCTATAGGATATCCTTCACTATGTGGAGATTACTGGGAGGGAGGGGGGTCCCATGTGTCCTTTCAGGGCTTGTTCACACCATATACAGAGCATTCCAGCGTACTTAGCTGCTGGAATGCATTGTATCGCATCCCGGCCGGCTTTCTGCATTCAGGGACGGCAGGGGCGTGGTGGTGCATTGAAGTCAATGGCATCGCAGCCACACACCCCCGCCCGCACCAGAGTGCATGGCATGTCAATGCCTAGGTTTCGGTCCACTGCGTTCTGAAAAAATAGTACATGAAGCATTTTTTCAGATCGTACTGGACTGGAACGCAGGCATTGATGTGCCACTTGTTTTGGTGCGGGCAATCGCACTGCGGGCTAAATTGGCTAAATGGGATGGCAATAATTGTCGGATTTAGAGTGAATTATCATTGCGTAGATCATTTTTATCTCTGATTATTAGATCAAAGATTTAAAAGAAAATACTTGTGGATCATAAAAGTGGCTCCAGGTTACTTAGGGCACTTTTCCGATCAGGTCCGCCTATCAGTTTTTTAGGCGGACCTGATTGGAAGCCCAATGTTAGTCTATAGGCAGCCGGATCTAAATCTATTTGCATCCGGTTAGCCCCGGCTATGGCCAGTTCTGTAGTTTTGCGATTTTGCGAGGTGAGCGATTTTTCCCCCCTCCCCTGTCCGATCCTCCAGCACTGACTGGCGAAACAGACCGGGGAGGGGGCGGGTATAGCTGGCTCTGCCTCTGGATACGCAGAGCCAGCTGTCAATCACGCAGCTGGGTGGATCCAGACAGTATTGTCAGGATCCGTCGCGGCTGTAGCTCGCGGTATACTGAGCTTTGGGTCACGGGAGGACGCTAGTTTGTGTTCTCCCGTGATCCTTAGGTGAACTTTGGGGAAAAGTCCTGACCCCATAGTTCTCCTTTAATGAATTAATTTAGTTTGCTGAAACATTGTGCGTTATAAACAGTTGACAACTTTTTTTTTTTTTTTAAATCAAATTCAACTTCTTATCCTTTGTTGCATATCAGTGCTGCTGATCTCCTCTTTGCAACTACGTCCTGTCTACATGTATACAATCAATGGATAGCACTACTCGGGGCGGATTTCTAGATGGTGACAACAGTGGACCATGCCTGTGCAAAGTGTGTCGGCATGGCCAGTTGGGTTACAGAGGTCTGGATTTTATTAGAACATTCCCCGGTCTGCTCCTGCTCTCCATCCTGACACCCTCTGCCAAGGTCCCAGGCTCCCCGGAGGAGCAGGGGACCCAGAAAACCACAGTGGAGGGGAGGGTGGCACGATTCCAACCTAGTACAAGTGATCTGGGTGGCTGTACTACCACCCAGATTACTTGTAGTTGTAGCAGACAGCCCTGCCTGACATAATTGGTTGCTTAGGGCACCAGCAGTCTTAGCAGCCAATGACTGAAGCGGAGGGGGGACCTGCACTGGGTTATGGTAGACAGTGGATGCACTGGCCTCGGTCCGGACAGAACCGCCACTTGTTCCATGTCCGGACCGCGGCCCACCATTTAGGGACCCCTGATGTATAGCATGCAGGAGCTTGTGTGAAATTAACTCTAAATCGTGATATTTGTTGCTTGTCCTTAACCCCTCTCACGTACAGCAGCGTCAGGAAGTTGGTGAAGCTCAGCGCTGTTCAGTTCATGTTAAACAACCACACAGTAAGTGCCGTGGGAAGTAATGATGGGGGTGGGGAGGAGCAACCAATCAATCTTCCATTAATGCGTCTACTGCAATATTGGAAAGTGATGGGGAGAATCTGGTTGCTGTGAGTAGCAAAAATGGTATTTCTTTCCATACATTGATATATGAGCCCCATGATGCAGAAATGTAGCTCATTTTGGGTCGACGTGTCGCCATAAACGGGATGATATCCTGCATTGAATTTATTCTCTTTTTATTATATTGCAGGATTTTACAGCCTTTTATAATGCAAATTAAAATGTGCTGTATAATGGGGGAGGGGGAGGGGGACAAGGCTCAAAATGAATTTCTTTTTTTAACATTAGTTATTTGTTGATTTGATGATTTCAGCGCATCAATTTAAAAATCAGTTGTATTATAATGAGAATCTGCTAAAAATCCCACCATGCCGTCATTCCATAAAGTGCCCTTGTAAGAAACTATATGTCGGGGAAACTAAACGGCAATTACGAATCAGGATAAGAGAACATCTCAGGGACATTAAAAATAAGGAGGAAAGCCCCATTGCGCAACACTTTGCCAGACACCACAATAGTTCACCATCAGCACGAAGGGGTGACCATGATATTGTACTATTGCAGAAGGAGAAAATGTGGATATACAGGTTAAATACTATGATACCACATGGTTTAAACCAGTAGTTCTCAACCTGTGTAACCTCAGGACCCACATTTGTCCTTGGACATCAAGTGGCTACCCAAGTCGCACCGCACTGGAACGCACGCCATTGCGGTACCGTGCAGGCGATCCGTGCGATCCTCAGCTTGGGGTCCAGTGCTGGGCTGTGACGGAGCTCCATCCATACATGCATTGCTTGTACATCTCCCTGTAGAGGTGCGTGCTAGGAGGTAGGATGTGACGTCACTCTGGTCCAGGCACCTCTACAGGTCATTTCAGGGTGCTGTAAGAAATGCACGTATGGATGGAGCTCCCTCGCGGCCATAGCTCCAGCCCACTCCACCTCAAGATGACACTCGGCACCGGGCAGCATATTCTGAATGGCTGCTTAGCGAAAAAACTGATGCTACGCAAGGGGGAGGCTGAGGAGCCTCTCGCATAGAAAGTGGAAGGCACGCGGCGACCCACTGAAAACGGGGTCACGACCCACCAGTTGAGAACCAAGGGTTTAAACAACGAATGTAGCCTACAAGTGTTCCTTTAGTTTAAGTGAGATGTCCGTTAACAATATGGGATGTATGGTTTTGCTTTATTGACCTAGTGCAGTGCTGGCGAACCTTGGCACTCCAGCTGTGCCAAAACTACAAATCCCAACATGCATCTGCCTCTGGGATTTATGTCTGTGGCTGTCAGTCTTGCAATGCCTCATGGGACTTGTAGTTCCAAAACAGCTGGAGTGCCAAGGTTCGCCACCACTGACCTAGTGTGTACTGTAGTATATTTCCCTTTTGTTTTTAATTATTCAGTTTTGGATACTTTTTGCTACTCTGATCCTCATATAATTACTGCGATCTGTACCTTCTTAAGGATCAGAAATAGTTTTCTGTATGCCCTATCGCTCTGTTGGATGGTGGCATTTTGTGAGCAGGGCCTGCAGTAATGTCGTCCTATTGTGTTACAGAGCGAGCACTTCTCTTTCCTGGGAATCAACAGCCAATCAAACTTGTCAGATATGCGCTGCCGAACAACCTTCTACACTGCACTGGGACGCCTCCTCATGGTGGATTTAGGTACTGGTGTCTTATCAAGATTTGTGAGTTTTGCCCTCACCTCTAGCTGTGCCATTATTTACACTGTCCTTATTGTCTTTAGGGGAGGATGAGGAACAGTTTGCTCAGTTCATGATGCCTCTCACTGCTGCCTTTGAATCAATGGCCCAAATGTTCAACAGCAACAGCTTTAATGAGCAGGAAGCTAAGGTATTGTATGTTTGTTGTGTCACTGGGAGTCCTATGTCAGTTGCCCATGTACACTGCAGGTCTTTGGCCCTGGCTGACCGTTCATGGAAGAGGGGCTGAGCAGATATAGGCGTGCATGTTCCCTCCTTTATCTGGAATGCATATCGACTTCTTCCAGTGCTTGTCCAGCTCTGTTACTGTGCAGCCTACCCACCACCTTTTTCTCCTGTAACAACGAATGTCACAGCTGACTATAAATTTGTTTTGGCTCCTTTTCTTGGAGTCCATTGAGGGACACAGATCCCACCCTTCTGTGTTATGGTCATGCTTTTGGTACTGCTTTTACTGCAAAACTGGGGGCGTGCTGTTAGCAGGAGGGATTGTCCTGGACTGGTCTGTGTTAAACAACCTTATGTACGGTAATTTCAAACATACAAGTGCCGTGATCTCCTTAATCGCTCTACTCAAATGAATTCTATACCATTTTTGGGGACAGATAGAGCTTTCTTTTGGTGGAATTTAATCACCACTGCGGTTTTTATTTTCACTATATTAAGGGGAAATTACCGAAAATTTTGAAGGAAAAAAAAAGTTTTCCCTGCGTTATGTTATGAAACATTTATATTTACCCAAATTTTTTGTAAAATATGAAAGGCGGGGTCACATCAGGTAAATGGAAACCAAACATGTCAAGCCTTAAAATTGCACGCACCCGCAAAATCACAAAAAACTACCATAACTAAATTTGGCCGTAGGTGACGCTTTAAAAGCTTTTACCGTTCGTCAGTTTAGTGACATCAGTGATTAATGGCCCCAGGATTATTGCTCGCATTCCAACGTTCGCGGTGATATGTAACATGTATGGCGTAATCTTTGTTTTCGCCCAATGGCGTACCCGACGCGTATTTGTTTGTGTGTGCGTGCATGCGGGGGACTTTTTTTACACTTAACTTTATTGCTATCACATAGGGGGCTAACAATCCCCCTATGTGATAGCCAATATACAATGACAGGTCCTCTTTATAGAGACATCAGGGGTCTCCAAAACCCCTAATGTCACCTAGGGACCCCCAAAGCAGCTGATGAAGCAGAGATCTGCTTCACCAGCTTCTTCTCTGGCTATAGCAGCCAGACAAATGACAGCTAAAGGTGGAAGTGATGTAATACACATCACATCCTTCTCCATGCATTGGAGGAGAGATCAGCATCAGTCATACAAGCGATCGGATCCGATATAGAGCGGCCTGAACGCTTCTATGTCACAGCCGATACCGGCTGTTAAAATATTTTTTTCGGGATTCGCACGAGCAGAAAACAAACATCACGAAATGCACGGCAAGTGGTTAAATGGTGTCCTAATAAACTGTGATCTATGACGATGTATCAACTTTAAAATGAAAGAAAGCACGTATAATGTGTCAGTACAAAGTTTGCTGAACATAAACTTTGGTGTTCATTAAGTGACTATGAATTGCACTTAAACAGTGAGAAAACAATCAACAATAAGATTCCCAATTACAATGAATTCAAAAACAAAGCCCATAAGAGTTCATATGAGTGAAACCATCCAAATAATCATTTGAAAATTCATACACATCTGATTTCAGTCTTTGGTCCTCCACCATCTTATTACCACTACATGGTCACTCACTGACGTAGTCGCACTGTTCCCCCTTATGCTGTATCGGCCAGGTGAGGATCTACGCTCATAGGAATCCACTTATGGAAGTCTTTGTATCCCTCGTTATATGTACATAGTTACATAGTGAGTCAGGTTGAAAAAAGACAAGTCCATCAAGTTCAACCTATAGAGATGAAGCAGAAAAACCTAAAACGTAACGTTATGCCCACAGTTACCCACTGTTGATCCAGAGGGTGGAGCATTTAACTCATGCTGGCAAATGTTTTCTGATCCCGGTGTAACATTGTTCTCTTCTATGTCTAGAGGAGTCTAGTTGGGTTGGTGAGAGACCTGCGAGGAATCGCCTTTGCATTTAATGCCAAGAGTAGCTTTATGATGCTGTTCGACTGGATGTATCCTTTTCAGACCCGTGTTATGTTCTGGCTGACATGCCTCTGATGTGTTCGAGGAATGAATGAAATAAAGTCCTGAGAGCACTTGAGGTGGTCGCCTCAGATCTGGTAATAGGAAGAACTGGATGAATGTGTCCAATCTGAGTCTGGTTGTGCAGCTCAAATAATACAGGCAGAGGACACCTTGACTGGAACATCCAGCTTTTCTGGTAAAGACTACAGAAATGTCTGTTACCTCGGGGGTGTGGAAATTTTGGAAAAAACTACTTGTCCAAGGACTAAAGCGGGGGTCAAATCTACTTGTCCCTCATGACAATCTACTTGTCCTGATACAAAAAAAATTATGTTAACCAAACCGTATTTAGCAGTGCTAAGAAGCGCTTCTCATTGGTCAATGCCGTCAGGTGACCGCGTTGACCAAGTGCTTGCAATTTGCGAGCGAAATTCAGAATACATGGAACAGGTACAGATAGTACACCCGTACTGGTGGACGGGAAGGACCGGTCGCCGAAAGGTAAGTATAGCGGGAGGGAGATTTGTGCGGGTAATTCCTTTATCCCAAATTACTTAGGAAAGTGAATATACCCTTTATGGTTGGTGCAGACCTGCGGATTCCCGGGACGTGCGATCGTGTGCGGTTGCATCCGCATGTATGGGGTTACATCTGGTGCATGCGAATGAACGTGCAGTGTTTTCAACCGTGATCGTGTGGGATCGCCCGGGCGGTATTGCAGCAGGAAAACGCGCAATCTGCCTGGCACGACTGGGGTGCCATTAGAAAATAATGGCACTGACAGTACGGCGGTGGTGTGCGATTCCGTGACCACCCAGCCATCCGCTCGGTTTCGTGCACGATGACCGGGGCAGTCACAGATCGCACACCACTGCCACCGCCATCGCGCTGGCAGTGCCATTATTTTCTAATGGCACCCCAGTCGTGCCAGGCAGATTGCGGTGTTTTCCGAGCGGTAGCACACGATCGCAGTTGAAAACACTGCACGTTTATTCGCATGCAGATGGGGCAGCGGGGCTGGTTTTCATTTTTTATTAAAGGAGAACTATGAGGTGAGTGCTTTTCACTCACCTCATAGTTCTAGCCGACCTGTGACAATGAGACTGGGTCACAGGTCGGCTCAGTAGATCGGGACGTGAGCGAACACATACCGGCGTTCGTTCACCTCCCGATCCTGCCACGGCTCTCTGAGGGGCTGGATTCCCCCCTCCGCGCTCCGATCCGCCATCGCTGACTGGCGGAACGGACGGGGGAGGGGGCAGGTACAGCTGGCTCTGCCTCTAGATAGGCAGAGTTAGCTGTCAGTCACACAGCTGGGCGGATACAGATATAATTGTCGGGATCCGCTTCCGCTGCGGCGTCTGAGTATACCGCGAGCAGCAGGTCGCGGTATACTGCGGCGTCTCAGTATACAGCTGCAGTATACTGAGCCTAGGGTGACGGAAGGATGCTAGTTTGTGTCCTACCGTTACCCTAAGGAGAACTATGGGGAAAAGACTTAACCCCATAGTTCTCCTTTTAACTTTGTAAAATGTTTTCATTTGTATTAAAACAAAATGGAGTCTTCATGTCAGAATGACTGCATAGTTGGTTGGCTGATGTTGGCTCGCCTGACAGGCACACTCATAGAACAGGGTGGCAATGTCAACTGAGCTCAACAATAGCCCACAAATTGGGCTTCTGGCAGGGGAGGAGCAGAAATGTAAAGCAGCAAAGAAGGGATTCTCTGCAGAGTGCTTTAGTGCCTTGCAGCACTGGGGGTCCCTGGTTTGAATCCCGGCCAGGTCACTATCTGCTTGGAGTTTGCATGTTCTCCCTGTGCTTGTGTGAGTTTCTTCCGGGTACTCCGGTTTCCTCCCACACTCCAAAGACATGCTGGAAGGTTAATTGGCTCCTGTCTAGATTGTCCCTGCATGTATGCATGTGAGATCGGAACCTTAGATTGTAAGCTTCTTGAGGGCAGGGACTGATGTGAATGTGCAACTATGTAAAGTGCTCGTAAATTGTCGGCATTATGCTGCAAGGGTCAACTGCTCATTTTTCTCTAGGGGTCAGAATACAGCAGATCTGCTCACCTGATCCTCGGCCCTATGGCAAATGGTGCTCACCTCTCTCCCCCTCCCGTGGTATGTCCCCCAGTGTCCTCACATCTAATGGATCTGCATTAGAGATCCTTATACTGCCGGAAACGGGGGGAAAAGAGGATACGGTCTAGCAGTTGCCCCACTGCAAGGGTTAACCTTTTAGATTCCTGGAGTTCCTCTTTAAATGTAATGGTCTACTGATGTGAAGGTAACAGCCTAAGAAATAATGGGAAGGAGCCTGGTATGGATGTCTGCTATGTAGCAGTCCTGCTCGTTGCTGTTCCTTAGCCATTCTCAGATACCCAGCATACATGCCCATTCTTCAGCGAGCACTAGAACTCTGGTTCCATGACCCGGCCTGTACAACACCGATCCTCAAGCTCATGGCAGAACTGGTACACAACAGGTTTGTTTTGCTCTTTTGGCCTTTTATTTTTTTATCCTTTTAAACAATATCCATCCATCCAGAGCTGACAATGTCTGTCACCCACCTACAGGTCACAGAGGTTGCAGTTTGATGTCTCTTCACCGAATGGCATCCTCCTATTCCGGGAGACCAGTAAAATGATCACAACTTATGGTAAGCTGATAAATATGATGATATCTTCTTCTTCTTCAGCTCTTTATATGTGTTTATAGACATGTGTCTTCCCCTCAGGTAACCGGATCCTGACGCTGGGGGAGCTCCCCAAGGAGCAGCTTTACGTGCTGAAGTTGAAGGGAATCTCCATATGTTTCTCGGTGCTAAAAGCCGCTCTCAGCGGCAGCTATGTCAACTTTGGGGTCTTCCGGCTATACGGAGATGAAGCTCTGGATAACGCTTTGCAGACTTTTGTCAAGTTGCTGCTGTCTGTGCCACACAGTGATCTGCTGGTAATACTGCACCCAAAGCTGCACCGTTCTCTTTCACAATTTGTATTAAAACAAAATGGAGTCTTCTGATCTGCAAGATTATCCTTCCCTCAGCTAGGGTTTCCCTTCAAACCGTTATTTTTAGGAATTTGCCATCCCAATAGAAAACTAAAATAGGTCTATTGTTAATGGCATCCAATCAGGCTTCTCTTATAGTCTTCCCTGTGATGTCCTTCAAGCTTTTCTTTTCTTCCTGTGTCCCCCTCGTTAAGGGACACATTAAGTCATATACTGTAGAATTAAACTGCTGCCTACAGGAGGCTAGGACAGTGGCAAACAAAATCATTGTTATCTTGGCCTTGGACATCAGGTTGTCATCTGGTCATGTTGGCTGGTTCCCCTATTTGATAAGGGAGTTTGGCCTCATCCAGGGTCAGATTTGGGCATTGGTCCATCATGCAATCCTTGTCCACTGAGGGACACAGGGGCCCCCTCTCTGAGTTATGACTATGCACTTGGTACTGCTTGCTAAAAACAGGGCACGCTGGGTTAGAGGAGGGTCCATCATGGGCTGGCCTACAGATTCTTTTGATTGCCAGTGTCCAATCCTACTTTAGGTGACGGTTTAACCCAACAGTATGTGATTTCCTGTGTCCCTCAATGGACTCCTAGAAAAGGGTGTTACTGTGAGTAATAACAAAAAATTCTCACATGCCCAACTAGATCCTACACGGCCTTGAAATGTTTCATGTGACGCTTTTTGTCATTGATTACAGATCCATCATGGAACCCGACCTATCCCCTACCTATAACTGACACTCTGTATGAGCTGCTAGAGAAGAGGGGCAAGCCTTTAGTTTTGTTTCACCTTACATAGTATTTGAGGTTGAATAAAGACATTAGTCCATCAAGTCTTTTAGGACACTCCAATTTCCTCCTATTTTGTCATTGGTGCCGATGTGCACCATGACAACGGGGTCGTGCCCAACCCCATCTAGTAATCTGTCAATTCGTTCCGCAATGTGTCGAACACGAGCCCCCGGCAGGCAGCACCTAATCCTTTCAAACTTCTGTTTCTGATAGTTTTTGAGCAACTGGCAGAAGGAAAGATTGCATTACAGTCTGACAGGGAGAGAATACAAGTCCGTTAAAAAAAGTTAACCCCGAGAGGCACGGCTGCACTATTGTAACAAAGAATGGGTACAAATGACTGGTTCTCTTGAAGCTATGTTGGTGTTACCCTGTGGTTTCAGGTTTACCCCAACTTGGTTAGATTGCAGTTTATGGTATATGACAGGGGTCTTTGGCCCTCCAGCTGTTGTGGATCTACAAATCCCATAAGAGATTGCAAAGACCGACAGCCAGAGATGCAAGTTCCAGAGGTAGATGCACGATGAGGTTTGTAGATTCACCACAACTGGAGGGCCAAAGTATGGCTACCCCTGTATATGATATAGGCTGATATAACGGTGTATTGATCGCACTCATTATAAAGGATTTAAATTTGCCGTCATTATCTTTCCACTGGAATAATGGTGCTGGCTGTTTTTCCTCCGGTCTCTTTGGGTTTTGCAGAAATCCATTACTTGTAATAGACGGACGTTGGAGAGGTGGGGTAGATGTGTTGTTCCATTATGGAGAGGTGGGGGGTTTTGCCTGTTCTTTCTGTGATTTCAGGATTACCCCAAGCTCAGCCAGTCCTATTACTCCCTGCTGGAGGTGCTGACTCAGGATCACATGTCTTTCATCGCCAGCCTGGAGCCTCATGTAATCATGTACATTCTGTCCTCTATCTCTGAGGGGCTCACAGCTCTGGGTGGGTATCTGCTTGTATCTGAACCTTTTGATGACACGCTGACGCTGATGTTCTTTCTTTAATGCCCTTGTTCTGCGTTCTCTAGACACCATGGTGTGCACGGGCTGTTGCTCCTGTCTGGACCACATAGTCACATACCTCTTCAAGCAGCTTTCCCGCAGCAGTAAGAAAAGGGGAGCTCCGCCCCCGCAGGAGAGTGAACGCTTCCTGCACATCATGCAGCAGCACCCAGAGATGATCCAACAGGTGACTTGAGTCATAATATGGGTTTCCAGGTTCTGATGTCTCTGATTATTATGAAACTAGATACAGTGTATAGGCAAGTAGTTTGTAAGAATGAAAATGTATTAAAGGAGAATTATGGGGAGGGTGAAAAGCACTCGTCCCCATAGTTAGAGTCGGCGTGTGACACTGCAGCTGTCACAGGTCGGCTCTATAGAACGAGAACTGAGCGATCACAAACCACTGATCACTCAGTTCACAATCTTCTCCCTGCAGATGTGGTCAGTCACGGCTCCCTGCAGGGATTCCCCCCTCTCCCTCCATTCCTCCAGCACTAACTAGAGCAGTGGTGGCGAACCTCGGCACTCCAGCTGTTTTGCAACTACAAGTCCCATGAGGCATTGCAAGGCTCTGACAGACATAACTCCCCGAGGCAGATGCATGTTGGGATTTGTAGTTTTGGCACAGCTGGAGGGCCAAGGTTCGCCACCACTGAACTAGAGGGACAGACAGGGGAGGGGGCGGGCACATCTGGCTCTAGAGAGCCCGCTGCCAATCAGATAGCGGAGTGGTTACCAACAATATTGATGGGATTCTTCCCGGCTGCAGCACAGCTCTGCGCTGTCAGCATATAGCGGGCAATAGCCCGCTATTTGCTGAGTTTTGGGTCACAGGAGGGCATTAGTAAACGTCCTCCTGTGACCCAAAAAAGAACTATGGCCAAAGAAGGTTTGCACATAGTTAACCGTGGAAAAGTAAGCAACAATGCAGGAGGGAATGCAGCCGACATAAGACTTACCGGCCTGGGCTGCTGGAAGTGGTCATGTTCCACCATTGACCTTACATCAGTGGCAGTGAAAGGGTTGAAGGGAACACAGATCAGTGATATGGTGGAAACTGAATCGCCTCAATTGTAATAATTTCTTAGACATTTTTAAATGTAGACATCACTTCACATATTATACAGTCATGTCAGTCCCTGCACTCGGGGAGCTTACACTCTGTGTTCCCTGTCTCTCTCTCTCTCTCTCTCTCTCTCTCTCTCTCTCACACACACACACACACACACACACACACACACACACACACACACACACACACA